TGCAATGAAAGCTTCGTCCTGAATGCCTGAACAGGGTTATTCTAGCACCACCTTCTGCTGCAAACTAGGCCTATGTAAGCTCATGTTTGGGGGATATCAGAAGAAATACACAAGTTCTTTCTCAGCATGTTAAAACACACTAGTTCCCTTGCACTTGTTTTTTGGGGGGGAGAGGAAGGGAGGGAGAAAAGAGCAGAAAGGTTGCCACTGTTACCCTGCAATGCCCTAAATATGTGACATGTAAAAAGCTTTCTTCTTTAATCCAAACTGACAAAGCTTCATTTGGAATTTCATTTGAAATTAATTGTGTAAATCATTGGCGAGGTTATTTTATTAGTATCAGCAAGCATTTGGCCCATGAATTTGATTACTGAATTAATCAGATTCTTCTTATTTATTAATTCATGCTGTCAACCCTATTTTGTAGGCATTAGAAAAATGGTGTGCACAACCTTTATATATTCCTTGGTAACTACAAACCTCTTTCTCAAACCAGGTTTATTATTATTACAGACAAAACGTTAAAAGAAACAAACCAGTATAAACAAAACATTCCAAAGATTATGCCAAGAGAAGAAAAAAATATGTAAGTGAACCTGCATCCCCATTACACACTTTGAAAGGAATGTATCTTTAAATGTCAAACCCACAAGATCAAGTACAGTAGCAGACTTGCAAAGTTAACAACCACCTTTCTTAAATCTTGGAGAGAATTGGTAACATAGTCTCTGATTAACGAAGTTTGGAATATTGAGATAAAGTTCAGGATAACATATCTCCCCAAAAAGAACAACAAGCAGAAGTTGATATAGGTTATTCTGGAGACAAATCAATGAAAGGAATGAAAGAAGACCAGCCATCCTAACATTTATCTCTAGTAACGTCACCTCTGACTACTCTGCTATGTTGTGTCCGTTTGTCTACAAGTGAAACCTTCCAAAGCCTATCATACCAGTATTGAATAGTTAACAATCACTTCTCCATAATAATGCAATCTCCATCCTGGCTGCTACCAGGAAAGAGATTATTGATGGCTTGAACAAAATATAATTATTTACTCAAAATAACTATAGCAAGGTGAAGCCTGGATTTTAAACCACTGTAATATAGAAATCATGTAGAACACATCATCCCAAAACTTGTTTACTGCCTGACACTCCCACCATAACTGAATATAAGTCCTATTTGTAGAGCACCCCTGCCAACAAAGAGAGGAAACTGAGCCACAAATGCGATGTGGGCACATCCGTGTTAGACACCACCAGTGGATTAATTTAAGTGATTGCTCCTTAACAAGTGCAGATATTGATTTAAAAGACTGCCACACTGCATTCCAGTCCCCTTCAGATATTTCCCCTATATCTGTTTCTGATATTGATTGTAAGTTCCCCTTATCTAGATATTGATGGTCAATGACTATCTGATAAATACCACGTAGCTCAGCCTTCACCCATATGGAATGGGCTTAACACAGTTTCTCAAAGATGGTAAATGAATGTGGAGCTCCCAATTTGTACTTCCAGATTTTGAACCCATGTCGTTCATATAGGTACCAACAGAATCATAGACCTGGAAGGGACCATGAGGGTCATTTACAACTCTTATACACACATCATACGCATGAGATTAATAATATCTGCTCTACTGACTGAGCTATCCCAGAAAGTGAGTTCTTCTAACTGTTGGAAGGTGAGGCATTTTCATCTGTGGAACAAATCCTGGAGCTGATTGCATTCAGCTGGAAACTAGAAGATTCACTAGAGCATCATTGAGTCCATGGCCTCCTTGCCTGAACCAGTGTTTGATACAACTGGGTTCACAAGCGTGGAGAGGAATCAAGAATGTGCTGCAATGACTTTCTAACTTAAGGTTGTGCCTGCCTTCGGACCACTCTGTAGCAACCGTCTGCAGCTGTAGGACCTCCATGTATCCATGGAAAGCCTCCTCTGCCCACCTCACATTTTCAATGGCCAACTCAAAAAATAATTGTGTGAGACATACTATAGTTACTTGGAACAAAGGCATGAGAATGGAGACGCAAGCTAGGCCTTTTTCCTTCCTGGTTTTATTCTTTTACAGCTGGAGAAGTACAAGCCTGTTCCAAAAAAAGCATATGAATCATTGCTGCTCTTCTCCTTAACATAATACCCATGTGTGGATTTATCGGCAGACTTTCAGTTTGATAAACTGTTGGCATGTAAATATTTCCTTGAAGAAATTCCAGTCCAGCTGCTTCTGTTTACAAATCTATCAATGGTTAACACCATTGAATGCATTCTGCCAGGATCTCTGCTATAATTACAGCATGTCTAATTGTAGATTAATTGTTTTTAAAAAGAGGAATGTTAAATAATAAATATTTTCTGGGTTTTGAAGCAATGCCAGCTTTTGCATTCATTGTGGAAAATCAACAATGTAAGTTCATCTGCTTTCCTGCTTCCAACAAACTCTTACTAGATTTTTATTGATCCTGTTTATTTTCTCTTTGGAAACTCTCAGCTTGATGGTCTATTCAGTTGAAACAAAGGGCTTGGATCTCATTTTATTTACATGGAGAAAATCCTATTGATCTCATGTGAACAAACTTGGCCTGAATCTTTCGTCCCCATCTTCAGCTGAAACAAAGTCTACATAAAACTGCTTGTGCTCACATCCATCACCTTTCTTATCTTTGTCTCATTCATATCTTCTCCTTGCTTTCCCCCAAACCACCTTTCTTAGACTCCACATTCCTTCGTAGAGTCACAGTTCAGTAGAGCAAATGCACAGCATGCAAAAGTTCAATCCCAGGTGCCTCCAGGTACAGCTGGAAAACAGTGACTTCTGCCATGTCTGAAATTCTGGAGAGCTACTGCCAATCAGTGTAGACAATACCAAGCTACATAGACCAATGGTTCCTAATAATATATTGTTGCTTTATTTATTTTAAAATGTATAAACCACTCTTCCATAAAATATAAAATGGTGGCCTACAACATACAAAATGTGATAAAGTCGGTCTATAAATATCTATAAAACGTAATTGAAAAAATCAGCAAAACTTCAGTAGCTATTGGTTGGTGTATAGAAAAAATCACATTGTGGAGGCCTGTCTAAACAGTGCAGTTTTCAGAAGATGTCTGAAACATGGCAGGGATGGTTTCTGCGAAACTTCTACAGGTGGGCAGTTCCACAGAGTTCCTAGTGAAGGCCAATGGAATCTCGGTGGTGTGAGGAGTCACCAGAGGATCTGTGATTGAGGTGGAGTATAAGAAATCAGAAGGAGTACCTCCAGACTGTGTATGTTGTCCTTCAGAGTGAGTGCAACCTCATCCAGAACAGGCAGTTGACCTATACATGGGGACCATGCAGCCTCCACCTTTCCAGGATTCAAGCTCAGTTTATTGACCATCCAGCCCAATACTGCATTCATGGGCTGCTCCAGGACTTGTATATACTCTATTTTAAGGGGGAAAGGGCATCTTAAAATGCAGTCACTCATCTCAGCTAAATTGCTGAAGTAACACGTTCCTCAGCTAAGAAACTGGTGACAATACTGGCCTCTGTACAGTAGATATTAATAAACATTTGCTGAAGTTGTTAAAGATGGAGCCTACTGATAATATTGGTCACCATCTTATATCAAGCCAACAGACTTATCCAATGGCTGCCTGGATGTTGGAAAGCTTAAGAATACCATAAGAGTGGTGTAACTTTTGCTTGAGTATATTATTGATTATATCCAACATTCATAACGTCACTTGGAAATATTTAACCATATGATTCATTCACTTTACACATAATCAGCCTGTGAGTTTTATGACTAAGTATGACACTATGAATAATACATTCAGTCACCAGAGTCTGATATATTTATCTTTCTCAAGTACATTAACAGAAATGAAACATTGTCCGATAACACACTGCAGCATTTAGTATTTGCTCTGAAATAGCATTGGCCTGCTTAGTAGGAAAATGCCTTATTTAGAAAACAATTAACTTGTGAAATATTTCATAACTGTGATTCATTTATTTACCACATTTGCTTTGAACGGCATCAAAGATCTCAGGGCAGCAAACACTGAGATCCATCTCACTTCACTCCCATAAAAGCCATGTGAGGTGCATTAGGCTCACAGCCTATACTGAAAACCAGACCACCTCCTTCACCTTGGGGTACCCTGGTCATCTGCATCTCAGGTCAGATGATGAATAGGTGGACGACCTCACTCACCTGTCAACTCTGGCCTGTGAGGTAGGGTGGCAAGATAAAGATGTGCCCTGCTAGACAAAAAGGTCCCACCTCCCAACAGATTGTGTCCCCCTGGGAAGGACTAAGTCAATCTTTAAGATCTTCTAAGCCAAGGAGACCCTCCTGGTCATTTCACAACCATCAGATGACAATGTGGAAGGGGGCTTTTTCTGCGATAGCACTCACCTTCTGGAATGTTCTCTTCCTCAGGCCATTTGTGAGGCAAATGCAACAATTGCCTTTAAATGCTTCTTTAAAACTCATATGTGTACCCAAGCTTTCCTAGGTCAGACTCTCTATTTTTATTTTTATTTTGTACAATGCTCCATTTTATTTGAAAGTCAACAATGAAGGAGACAAACATGTCTGACCAAGAAGGACATTTCTCAAAGAAGGCCCTGTTGTGGGTAAATGCCTACTTAGGCTTTGGCCAATGTACCTGATTGTGTGAACTGGTTCCAATGAGGGGAAAGCGCTGGAGGGAATGTGAGGACTTATGAATGTCCCACTTGTAGCGTTATATCGCACAAGAGTGGAATAAGAATATTTACAGTTAACTAGAAATAGAGGGGAAAGGCATAAGCATAAGAAACCACTGTTGGGACAGAGCAAAGGTCCATTCAGATTTACTGACCACAAATTTGCCTAATCCTCTCTTAAAGCCACCTGAATTAATGGTTGACATCACATCTTCACAGAATCATAGACTTGTAGAGCTGGAAGGGATAATGAGGGTCATCTAGTCCAACCCCCTGCAATGCAGGAATCTTTTGCCCAATGTGGGGCTTCAACCCATAACCCAGAAATTGAGAGTCTCATGCTCTAGTGACTGAGCTATGCAATCCAAATCCATAAATTAAAAGGTGTATGAAGAAATACTTTCCTTTGTTTGTCATGAGTCTCTTGTCAATTACATTCCTTTGGATGACCACAGGTTCTAGTCTTAGGAGATAGGGTCAATTTTCCACAACATGCAAAACCTTATAAACCTTTGTCAACCTACAGCTCAATCATCATAGGGCTCTTTCACAGAGAAGGTGCTCCGCTCCCTTGATTGTTTTGGCTACCTTTCCATAACGTTTCCCAGCTCTACAATATCCTTTCTGATGTACAGCAACCAAAACTGTACACAATATTCCAAGTCATGCAATAAGCCATGACTCTGGCAGTCTAATTCCCTTTCCTTGTAATCCTACCATGGAATTCATTTTGTCACTGCTACTGCAAAACTACTTGGCATTTTAATTGAGCTATCCACTACAGTCTGACGTCTCTTTCCTGAATAGTCACCACCAGTTCAAACCCATTAGTTTGTATGGGTTTTGCTTTCTGCTCCAAAGTTGCATCACTTTACACATACTTGTGTTGGGCCACACTTGCCACGTTGATGCCAGTTAACTCATTTTGGAGAGTTGATTTTCACAATCCTGAATAGTTGGGTCATCTGTAAACTTAGCTCATCCTTACAGCTCTCTCTCTTCTCTATTATTATTTCTCTCCTTTTCTTTAACCTGTCCTCACATCCCACAACGGCCATGTTTACTCAGAGCATTTGGTGAGCAATTTTCTCAAACGCTTGTTCATAAATCCAAGTAGATCATGCCTATCAGACTGCAGAGGATAGACTTCTATTTGAAGAATTGTCCAGTCCAATCCTAGTTTATAAAGACAAAGAGCCATAAGAAGAGAAAGCAGAAGAAGGCTTGAAGCTGCGCCTAAACAAGTGGTCTAAGCAAGCAGGCAACTTATCTGGCCAGTCATCCCCTGCTTTGGTGAGATGTATTGGATTCCCATTTAAATTACTATTACAGTCATTGTGCATATATACATGTAAACTGGGACGCAAGTGGCGCTGTGGGTTAAACCACAGAACCTAGGACTTGTCGATCAGAAGGTCGGCGGTTCGAATCCCTGCGACGGGGTGAGCTCAGTCCCGTTGCTCAGTCCCTGCTCCTGCCAACCTAGCAGTTCAAAAGCACCTCAAAGTGCAAGTAGATAAATAGGTACCACTCCGGCAGGAAGGTAAACGGCGTTTCCGAGCGCTGCTCTGGTTCACCAGAAGCAGCTTAGTCATGCTGGCCACATGACCCGGAAGCTGTACGCCGGCTCCCTCAGCCAATAAAGCGAGATGAGCGCCGCAACCCCAGAGTCGTCCACGACTGGACCTAATGGTCAGAGGTCCCTTTACCTTTTTACATGTAAATTAGCATGTGCAAACTTTGTGCATATCTGTTTTTGTTCTCGTTCTGATGAAGAGGTCACCTGTACCAGATTACCCCAGTCTGTATATGAAGTGGCACTCTCACAGAACTCTAAAATTAGGTACCTTTAGTTGCAGAAGCTATGTTGAATCTTCTTAAGCAAGACTGATCGTCTATTTGCATGACGATATTATCTTTAATTATATTTTCTACCAATTTTGAGATAATTGGCCTGAAATCTCCTGGATCTCCCCTGGAGCTTTTGTGACAAACAGTTTTATTGGAAGATGAGTAACTTCATACCAGAGTTCTTTAAATCTATCTGGATCTGATGGTTTGTAAATTTAAAATTTGTCAGTAACCCTATCATTTGATCTCTTGCCACCTCTATATGACTCAATTGCACAGATTCCCTTCCTGAACAAGTCATTTGGTGCACATTTTAGACACAATGGGATTCATTCAGTATATCTCCAGTTTCCCAAGAATCATTTAACGCACCTTTGCTGTCCCCAGCTGATTTCTTGGTTTGGACATGTTTAAAGAAAATGTTATTGTTGATCCAAAGAGGTGTTATCCAAGTAAGTAGGAGTGTCATCAGGAATAGTATACTGTACGTAGCACCCTTTGCTGCACTCACCAAAAAAAGACACAAATTTGCATAAAACACTTTATGTCACATGCCTATTTGCAACCCTCTTTTGCAGGTCGTGATGAAGCGCCCAAAAATAAATCAGGGGTCACACACAATAATATGTCCAATAGACAATCAACAGGCAAAGTGCTCCACATAATTGTAGTTCCATACTACAAAACCCTTACTCTGTTTAATACCTGCCTGCCGCATGGATGTTACATATGGACCCTCTCACCATGAACCCTTCTCTCCCACTTCTTCACAAGAAAGCCTAGGCTGCAATCCTGTACCCACTTACCTGGGAGTAAGCCGCGTTAAACCCGAATAGACCTACAGCCGTACCTTGGGTTAAGTACTTAATTCGTTCTGGAGGTCCATTCTTAACCTGAAACTGTTCTTAACCTGAAGCACCACTTTAGCTAATGGGGCCTCCTGCTGCCGACCTGCCACCAGAGCACGATTTCTGTTCTTATCCTGAAGCAAAGTTCTTAATCTGAAGCACTATTTCTGGGTTAGCAGTGTGTGTAACCTGAAGAATATGTAGCCCGAGGTACCACTGTACTTCTGAGTAGATGTGCATGCCATTTTTCTGTGAGTTAATTATACACTACGTTACTCACAAGTGTGTGGTCTTTAGGAGACATTCCTAAGCCTCTTTCAAAATGTTCACAGCATTCTTTAACGTCCGCCCACACTTAACTCTGTGGTAGAATCTGCAGAAAATAATTTAGAGGTAGTACCTGATCTCAAATGCCTATTGCTTTCAACCAATCTATTCCAAGTATGTCTTAATCAGGCACTACCCAACTATCTCACAATAATATGCTACTCAAATTCTCTCTCCACGCACACTGTGCTTCTCTTATTGTTGCATTTGTTTTTACAACATTTGCATTCCCTTCCGTTCTTCTCATTTGGGCAAGACATATGGCCTTACACCACATTAATTTTTGTAGTACTTTCTACCTCTTTTCATAGATTCAGTAATTACAATGCACTCATATCATATCAATCAATCACTGCACCTAATCAATAGAATTGGGTGTTTCTCTGCTCTTTGCAAGTAAACATATTCACGTATGCCAAATGGCTTATAAAAGTGCAATTAGTTCCGATAAAGAGCAAACTTGTTTTTGTATTGATTTAATTCCATGTTGTGCTACGCAGTGTTGCCATATGAACACTTCCCTTTAAATGTGAGATTGGCTCAAAAGTTTTTAGATGCTGTGCATGCTTTAATGTGCTCAGTATTCATGGGTGTTTGCAAAACTAGAGCAAGGAATTTTTCCATGTATTAGAAGCCCCCATGTATAAGATGCCCCTTATTTTGGGGGACTCATATTTAAGAAAATGGAGGGAAATGGCCCAAAGTTGTTGAGCTTTTGGGGGGAAAGCTTAATATTTTTATTGTACATTACTTTTTTCACATAGGTAAGTATGGAATTCAACTATTGATGAAAACAGTAGAGTGTTTAGTGTTCTTCCACACCTTTCATGTATACTTAGAGAAGAATTTGCAGTGGCTGCCCCACAATTCTGGAACTCTACATTCCTATGAACCTGAATTGCTAATTAAATATACTGTACTTTTCCGTGTATAAGACTCCCGCATTTAAGAAAATGGGGGGGGGGAGATGGCTCAGAGTTGTTGAGCTTTTCGGGGGGGGGGAGATTGCACAGGGTTGAGCTTTTTTAGGGGGGATTGCCAAAAATCGCTTAACTGCACGCCTCTCGCCGGCAGAACCTGCCAATCGCCCGCCCAATTGCGTCAGCCAATCAACACCAGCCATTGACACAACAACCAATAACATGCCCAATAGCCTCTGACATCCACAGCAGCAACCAATCAAACGCCCACCCTATGCACTATCCATGTATAAGACGACCCCTACTTTTTAGCATGATTTTTAAAGAAAAAAACCTAGTCTTATACATGGAAAAGTACGGTATTCCTGGGTTCCGGTACATTCAAATGCCGAAATACAGACATACACATGCCTTGAGATTCTAGGCTTATAGGTTGTATGCTTACACTCAGTCCCTCCTGAGGCTACAAACAGTGGCGGACTATGAGCTCTCAAATTTCAGTGGTGCCCGGTGTGGTGCTAACATTTGGAGCCCCCGCCTCTTGTGCTCTGTTCTACAGTGATGTTTTGCCCACCCCCCACACGCCACAACGCCCAGAGCAACCGCACCATTCGTGCCACCCTAAAACCATCTCTGCTGCAAGCATCACCCACATCCATGACTTGGAAGGCTATCATCATTAGGACCCAACGTATGTGAATGACAATGGGGTAGTGGACTCCGTCTCCCCCAGAACAGTCCAGTCTATCATGGATGAAATGAGTAGGGTTCTCTTTATTCAGTCTCTCTGTCTCCTCCTCCAATGCACTCATTCTGTATACATCCTAGTATCGCAGTATAGGACTCATGGGAACAGTCAGCACAAAATCATTTTAAATTAATTTACCTCCTATATTAAAACACTAAATAAAATTTGGGGAGACCTTGAGGTGGGGGGGACACAAAACGTTTTTGTCATTGTGGCAGTGCATTGTGGGGGACCCATGGGAGCAGACCATTGTTTTATTTTATTTTTAAAACTACTAATTTTGGGGAAGGAGACAAAAAAACCGGGGGGGGGGGGGGCATGGGACCTAAGGACTGCAGGTCAATCAACCCTGCTCTAGCTCCTCCATCACATTTCATAAAATAATGTACTGTGTGACAGAGTGCGTTCTTTTTTCAGTCCTAAATTAGTTTCCTGGGGTGTTGCAGAAACCATGATAGAGAAATTCTCCTATTAATAATTTAATTATGCTCTTTCATGTCTTCATCAGGATTACTTTTTTTAATTTTTTTTTTTTATCTAACCTGAAAATTCCAAGTTTTTGGCCTGACTTTGAGGGGAATGGCTCCAACACCTTGACTTCTTTAGTGGTACCTTGGCGAGTTCTAGTAGCCTTTCCAAAATGGAGTAATACAAAACTTAGGAGGGATC